AGCAGAAGCAGGGAGATCCTTGCGCTGCAGCGCCTCAGGTACCGCTTCCCCTCCAGCGAGGAGAACAGTGACCCGGCACTGTGGTGACATCACCAAATCTCCTGAGACCAGCAGTGCCTTAGATGATCTCACACTGCGGATACACAGCTATGAGGCTCAAGGTACAGGAGTGCCTAGGCACGTGAAGTGAATTTGAATCTGAAGTGCCGAGGCACAGGAAGTGCTCTGATGTCAGGAGTGACTAGACACACGAAGTGCACTGGTATAAGGGGTGCCTAGGCACAGGAAGTGCTGATATAAGGAGTACCTAGGCACAGGAATTGTACTGATATAAGGAGTGCCTAGGCACAGGAAGTGCACTGGTATAAGGAGTGTCTAAGCACAGGAAGTGCACTGGTATAAGGAGTGCCTAGGCACAGGAAGTGCACCGGTATAAGGAGTGCATAGGCACAGGAAGTGCACTGGTATAAGGAGTTGCTGGGCACATGACATGTACTTATATTAGGAGTGCCCAGGACAGGAAGTGCTGATATAAGGAGTGCCTAGGACAGGAAGTGCTGATATAAGGAGTGCCTAGGACAAAAAGTGTATTGATATAAGGAGTGCCTAGGCACAGGAAGTGCTCTGATAATGGGAGTGTCTAAGCATAGGAAGTGCTCTGATGTCAGGAGTGACTAGACACACGAAGTGCACTAGTATAAGGCGTGCCTAGGCACAGGAAGTGCACTGGTATAAGGAGTGCCTAGGCACAGGAAGTGCACTGGTATAAGGAGTGCCTAGGCAGAGGAAGTGTGCTGATATAAGGAGTGCCTAGGCACATGACATGTACTTATATTAGGAGTGCCTAGGACATGAAACGCTGATATAAGGAGTGCATAGGACAAAATGTGTATTGATATAAGGAGTGCCTAGGCACAGGGAGTGCACTTATGTGAGGAGTGCCTTGGCACAGGAAGTGGGCTGAAATAAGGAGTACCTGGCACATGACATGTACTTGTATTAGGAGTGCCCAGCCACAGGAAATGCACTTGTATAAGGCGTGCCTAGGCACAGGAAGTGCTGATATAAGGAGTACCTAGGCACAGGAATTGTACTGATATAAGTAGTGCACTTATAGGAGAAGTGTCTAGGCACAGGAAGTGCACTGGTATAAGGAGTGCCTAGGCACAGGAAGTGCACTGGTATAAGGAGTGCCTAGGCAGAGGAAGTGTGCTGATATAAGGAGTGCCTAGGCACAGGGAGTGCACTTATGTGAGGAGTGCCTTGGCACAGGAAGTGGGCTGAAATAAGGAGTACCTGGCACATGACATGTACTTGTATTAGGAGTGCCCAGCCACAGGAAATGCACTTGTATAAGGCGTGCCTAGGCACAGGAAGTGCTGATATAAGGAGTACCTAGGCACAGGAATTGTACTGATATAAGTAGTGCACTTATAGGAGAAGTGTCTAGGCACAGGAAGTGCACTGGTACAAGGAGTGCCTAGGCACAGGAAGTGCACTGGTATAAGGAGTGCCTAGGCACAGGAAGTGCAGATATAAGGAGTACCTAGGCACATGACATGTACTTATCTTATGAGTGCTTAGGCACAGGAAGTGCAGATATAAGGAGTACCTAGGCACATGACATGTACTTATCTTATGAGTGCTTAGGCACAGGAAGTGCAGATATAAGGAGTACCTAGGCACATGACATGTACTTATCTTATGAGTGCTTAGGCACAGGAAGTGCAGATATAAGGAGTACCTAGGCACATGACATGTACTTATCTTATGAGTGCTTAGGCACAGGAAGTGCAGATATAAGGAGTACCTAGGCACATGACATGTACTTATCTTATGAGTGCTTAGGCACAGGAAGTGCAGATATAAGGAGTACCTAGGCACATGACATGTACTTATCTTATGAGTGCTTAGGCACAGGAAGTGCAGATATAAGGAGTACCTAGGCACATGACATGTACTTATCTTATGAGTGCTTAGGCACAGGAAGTGCAGATATAAGGAGTACCTAGGCACATGACATGTACTTATCTTATGAGTGCTTAGGCACAGGAAGTGCAGATATAAGGAGTACCTAGGCACATGACATGTACTTATCTTATGAGTGCTTAGGCACAGGAAGTGCAGATATAAGGAGTACCTAGGCACATGACATGTACTTATCTTATGAGTGCTTAGGCACAGGAAGTGCAGATATAAGGAGTACCTAGGCACATGACATGTACTTATCTTATGAGTGCTTAGGCACAGGAAGTGCAGATATAAGGAGTACCTAGGCACATGACATGTACTTATCTTATGAGTGCTTAGGCACAGGAAGTGCAGATATAAGGAGTACCTAGGCACATGACATGTACTTATCTTATGAGTGCTTAGGCACAGGAAGTGCAGATATAAGGAGTACCTAGGCACATGACATGTACTTATCTTATGAGTGCTTAGGCACAGGAAGTGCAGATATAAGGAGTACCTAGGCACATGACATGTACTTATCTTATGAGTGCTTAGGCACAGGAAGTGCAGATATAAGGAGTACCTAGGCACATGACATGTACTTATCTTATGAGTGCTTAGGCACAGGAAGTGCAGATATAAGGAGTACCTAGGCACATGACATGTACTTATCTTATGAGTGCTTAGGCACAGGAAGTGCAGATATAAGGAGTACCTAGGCACATGACATGTACTTATCTTATGAGTGCTTAGGCACAGGAAGTGCAGATATAAGGAGTACCTAGGCACATGACATGTACTTATCTTATGAGTGCTTAGGCACAGGAAGTGCAGATATAAGGAGTACCTAGGCACATGACATGTACTTATCTTATGAGTGCTTAGGCACAGGAAGTGCAGATATAAGGAGTACCTAGGCACATGACATGTACTTATCTTATGAGTGCTTAGGCACAGGAAGTGCAGATATAAGGAGTACCTAGGCACATGACATGTACTTATCTTATGAGTGCTTAGGCACAGGAAGTGCAGATATAAGGAGTACCTAGGCACATGACATGTACTTGTATTAGGAGTGCCCAGCCACAGGAAATGCACTTGTATAAGGCGTACCTAGGCACAGGAATTGTACTGATATAAGTAGTGCCTAGGCACAGGAAGTGCACTGATATTTTTCAGGAGGAATTCCAGTCAGGCTTTGGCACAATTAGCATTATGTTCCCTACAAGACAAAAAATCTTCATGTTCAGATCCATTTGGGACATATTTAAAAAGCGGTGAATGTAACATTCACTGCGGGTGATTCAACCACTAATTTAAAACATATGCAAATAACATACACCCGCAGTGAATGTGACATTCACTGCTTAATAAATGTGTATCGGAGTACACGTAAAGACACAGGCTGCTCTGGGGGATGCGATGGTAAGTACGGCAGCAGGGGCCTCTTTAGCGTCCCATTGCTCAACGTGGAGCCACAGAGCTCAGTAGCTCAAGCTGAAAGTGAATGAGCCATGACTCCGCCCCCCTCTCTGTAGTTTGCGGCTTTATGGAGTGTGCTTAAAGGGGAACACCCGTACACAGTCTTCAGATAGCCCGTAGTGCTCAGAGAATCTTATGCCATGTATTAAACTTTTATATCATGCTTTATTATTTTATTTTTAATATTTTGTGTTTGTTTATGAAAAAAATCAGTTTAAAAATCGATTAAAAAAACAGCAACTTTCCCCCAAAACCAGCCCAGGCCGAAGGAGAGCCTGCCATGTCCGCCACATGAGGGAGAGCGCGGCCGCCGCTGGCACCACAGTAACTAACTGACTGTGAGAACTGGGTGAGGAAAAGAGGCGGGAAACGTGCCCCTTCAGTGCCATTGGTCACCACGAACGTCACTCATCCACATGAAAGGCGGGAGGCTGTCGTCTCCCTGTGACGTCACGCCTCGCCAAACCTTGGAAACATGTAGGGAGAAAACAAGGCGAGGGAGACAAAGGAGTTCACGGCGCGGCCAATCAGATCGCAGGGCGGGGTTTTCTGTCAGGAGAGAGGAGGCGGGAAGGGGAGATTAGCCAGCTGCGCAATTGGGAAGCTGAACGTCGCCTCTCACAGGGCGGACCGTACCATTTGACGACTGAGGGGGAGGTCGGTCGGCTCCTGAGGCGGACAGACGTGATTGAGGGGGGGAGAAACAAGCGCGGGTTACCGGCGTACGTCAGGGTGACATCAGCGGCGAATCTAGCGCGGAAAAAAGAGGAGGGGGCACGCACGCGCTCTGCTCCCCCCTGGCGGTGGTAGGTGCCGGAGCGCGCGGTGACAGGCACGGCACAAGATGGCGGCGGGCGGGGTGAGCGCGCAATGGCCGCCCCTGCAGAGGAGGAGGCGGGGGGAGGAGGAAGTGAGTGGGAGCACCGGGGCCTGGGCGGAGACTAGAGGATGGGCCTGGTTGGAGAGCTGAGGGTGTACCTGGGCCTGCAAAGAGGGCGGACAGTGCACTGGGGCCCGGGAAGAGACCAGGGGGGGCCCCGGGATTCGGAAATAAAGTAGAAGGTGCACCGGGGCCCGGGCAAGAAATAGAGGGTGCATTGGGGCCCGGAAACAGACCGGAGGGTGCAGCAGGACTTGGGCAGAGAGTGGAATTTGCATCCGGGCGGAGAGCATTGGGGGAGGGCAGGAGGAGACTTCTGCGTGTGCTGGGGCCCAGAGAACAGCTGGAGGGGGCCCTGGGACCCTCTGCTGCCCTGAACTCTGCACCAGGGCCCACAACACGTCCTGTTCCCGAGACCGCTTCACGTCTGGACTCTGCTTCCTGCTCCTCTGTGTCTGCATTGGGGCCCGCCGCTGCACAGGAGAGGCGGAAAGATGGTCTGGGGCCCCGAGAGAGGCGACCGGACATCGCACCGGGGCCTGCCACACACGCCACCCCACTGGGCATTACAAAGGGCCGCCTTGCCGGGCAAGACTTGGTACCGGAGTCCACGGGGAGGACGAAAGGTATATTGGAGCAGCCTCCGAATTGTGCATCGGGACCCCTGCCTATTGAACCTGTTGCTTCTCAGAGATGTGTAGCTGGTTCCCGCGCCCCCCAGGACTCGGCACCGGGGCCCTCAGCCCTCCAGGATTCTGCATCCATGGATTCTCAGGACACCGCGGCAGGGCCTAAAGTCTTGTGCGCGCTACGGGCAGCTCAGATGTCCAGCCGGCAGCAGGAACTGGGGACACGGGCTCGCCGGCTGTGCCGGAGGCTCCAGGTGATCCAGGCAAAGCAGGTGGAGCGGCACGTCCGGCAGCAGCTGTCCGGACTGGTGGAGTTGTTGTCCGAACGCGGAGCGGCCGGATTACCGGCGCCCCCGGGGTGGCAACGGGACAGACGGGCGTGCAGCTCTACAGCCCGGCTGCGGGCGGCCCAGGGGGGGTTCGACTCTGACGCCACGGAGAGCAGTTCCGGCGGGGAGAGCGACGAGGAGTCGTCGGCAACGTCGTCGGCTGAGAGTCCCGAACGAGAGAGAGTGGAAGAGGAGCCGAGCCGAGCACCGGGGTAAGTGCAGCCCACAGGTGTGAACACCGGGCGCTTCATACTGCAGGGTTGGACAACTTGAATGGTAATCGGGCAGGAGGAGACTTGTAATGGGCTGCAGAGGAAGGGCACGGCCTCAGATGGCCGGGAATATGTTGTTTACAATTAGGGGACACATGGTGCCCGTCCGCTCTGATCAGCAGCAGATCCTTGTACGTGTCCCCTGCTGACCAGAATGGATTCCACTTTTGAAACCTCCACAGACCAGAAACACAGAGCACTGCTCACCCCTGTCATGCATCTTTGTAATCCACATTCGGGGGAACAAATGACCCTCTTCCGGAGTGGTAGTCATTATCAAAAACTGCAGAACCGGCACATGATCTTCCAAAGAAAACCAAACTCTATTCCACCAGTATCTGTACAAAACTAAAAAACAACCGCTAACGTGTTTCCGCCTTGGCCTTAGTCCTAGCTGTGACTAAGGCCGTGTAAGGCAGAAACGCGTCAGCAGCTTTTTGTATAGCTGCAATGTGGAATAAAGTTTTGATATTCTATGGAAGATCATTGTGTGCTGGTTCTACAGTTCTTGAAACATGCGTGCCTGTTCTGTTTTTTTTTTTACCTCCATCTCAAACTGAACGGACCCGCATTAGGTCTACGGGCAGCCGGATGTATACATGTGTCCGGTAACCTCCGATGAGCCAACAAAACACACGTATGCAAAACTCCTGATGTTTTTGTTATTTTTTTGGAATTGACTCAGACATAATGGGATGTAAACACACGTCCGTTCACTTTCGCTGCCCATAGTTGCATTGGTATTCTGATCACATGCTCCTCGGGGGCGGATATGATTTGAACCCTCACGTGAAAGTCGTCGTAGAAAATTGTTTCACACATTTAATGCATCTAGTTGAATTGTTAGCTGACGAAACAATTTCGTGTGTGGAGCCGTGAACAGGGCCAACTGATCGGAAGCCGATTAATCGATTATTGAAAAAGTTGACAACTTTTTCAATAATCGATTATGTCGATTAGTTGTTGCAGCCCTATTTTGAACTGTACAGATTATAAAAATGGATGGACTACAATCTCATGTTTCGTTTACTCATTTGTATTGAGATTGTTGTCCATCCCGTGGGGGGAGCTTGGAGCGGTGACTACTCTACAACACACACAGAGTCCATGGGAAACAGACGTAGTCACCCTCCAGGAGGAAGGACAGTGTCGGCACCAATTCAGAGGTGATTGGCGGATCCGCTGCCCAGTGACGCACGCATAAGGTCCGGTCT